CTTCGGCGTGACGAGCGAACGCTTTAACCACTAGGCTACCCGACCGCCCCCCTATTGCGTAGAACGTAGAGTAGGACGAGATTAGCCATTCACAAACAGCTTTCTGATACACAGTGAAATCGTGTAAAACGCTTGATTGACCAGGCCAATATATACATAATATTTGAAAACAGTCAAATGTCACCTACAAAGAGCAATAGGTATATCGTTCTTTGAGTCAGAAAACAGCTTGACAGCTTTGTTGTAATTATCACAAGGCACATTATCAGACAGTGAAAAGGAATAGAGCTCGAATACATTGCCACCGTTGTATCACCCACACAGGATAATCAAACTTGTGTTAACACATCAGTGGTCCTGACGCAAGATATACTGTTCTGGCAAACGTTATTAATACTGTTCGTACTGTTGCCATGTAAACCAGCAGAATCTATAGTGTTCTCTCAAATAAACCAATATGATGTATGGACATTTAGTTTTACACAGCATAACTAAATTTCAAGATATGTGCTATTGTATGTACTCACACGTCTGAGTTGGATACAAAAGTATTAAAAAGAACAACCTCATCCTTGGATGCCGTGACAATTTCCCAATATGTCGGAACAGGCAATGGAACTAACTGTTTTGTCATGTGTAGTTTAAAGCTCATACATACTGTCATCAAGCCAAGCTGAGCTCACCTGGTTCGACTAAATGGAGTTATCCCGGTGTATGGCCAACACGTGACAACAAGTCACAACACGTTATTACCAAGCAACTGTTCACAAGTAAACTACACGATATATGTTATGGTATGGCAATTTAGGCAATAAAATAATGGATTCTAAGGTGGCCAAACAGAGTACTTACAGTGTATTCCTTATATTTGGTTTGACCCGTGAACAGCCGGGTAGAATAGTTCTTCAGCAACCCATGCTTGCCGTAAAATACGACTATGCTTGTCGTAAAAGGCCACTAACGGGATCGAGTGGTCAGGCTCGCTGACTTGGTTGATGCATGTCATCGTATCCCAAATGCGTGGATCGATGCTCATGATGTCAATCACTGGATTGTCTGGTCCAGACTCGATTATTTACAGACCGCCGTCACAGCTGGAGTATTGCTGAGTGCGGCGTTAAACAACAAACAAACAAACATTATATTTTTTCTTCCTGTGATTGTGACATTAAATGTGATATCACGCGAATATAAGTGGTACATTTATATAAATTTGAAAAAAAACATCATAATAGTTCTCTGTAGGTTTTGTACAGTTGTTGAACTAACATGTGTGAAAAGTGACAGTTCTATGTCAACATATGATATGTGCTGCCACTGCACTACCAGTGCTGGATATAGAGAGTAAGAAATAATATATGCTTTGTATAATGTGACAGATGTTAAATTTATCTTATATTACCATGTACCTTACAATACCAATTCGTCTTAACAACATTGCAATAACTGCCAAATGTGATGAATCAGGTCAGCTATAGAAAAAGATATACTTAACTTCATTTTCGCATCTGATATTTTTACATATGCTTTTTATTTGGGATTGTTATCACAGAATGATTAGCGGAGACACTGGGAACTATCAAATGTCAGTTAACATAAATTATATATTCGTTTTAAGAGAAATATATTCCTGTTGGGATGATTCTGTTAATCCAAGAAAAATCATTTATGTCAAACTTGGAGTCAAATGAATTGTTGATGATAACAATGACTCTATCTCAGAAAGATAAAGTTTCAGTCATTAAGGGATGAATTTGAGAGATAGGATCATGATAATGTCAAATACCGATGCTGAAAGCTTCTGTTGTACAACCTGACGCAAGCCAATTGCAAACCGTTTCAATTTCTTCTTGTAATACTTGCTTAACAGACATTTTATGTAAACTGTATGGGTGGTGGTAAGACAAAAAATAAAATAACAATTGTGAGGAGGATTTGATCCGCGGTGAATTTAAAAGTGAGTGAGTGAGTTAGGTTTAACGCCGCTTTTAACAGTATTCCAGTCATGTCACGGCGTGTCAGCTTAATGTGGGAGGAAAGCCCGAAGTGATGCAGATCTCAGATGTTTACCACTTCGGTGAAACCCACGAGCACGGGTATAGTGCTGACAAACCTAGAAACCTAATCGGGGCGAAACGGGATTCGAACCCACAATCATAGGATTCTGGCGTGCCCAAGGGACGCAACTCTGCACAGCGAATCACGGCGACTTAGACGACTGGGCCACCCGTGCCCCCGAATTTTAAAATAGGACAATATGCAATGTAAATAAAAGCAGAAAACTCGTTCCGTTTCCATAAGAAATCTCTGCTTAATTGTACGATTCCGACTATATCATGAGCATGCGTTATGAATCATTACTGAAAACATAAATCAGCAAGCCACGTAATTAAGGAAACGCTGTTCCTATCTTAACTAAACTATACGAATCAAAGATAATCAAGTTTTCAACGTCCTACGTCTATCTGAAGGGCAAAAAAGTAAGTTTGTTAGATCATGTTCTAAGGCCTCATGTGACCCATAATATAGTAAGAAGTTTGGAAAAAAACTATTCAAATATGTTAAGCGGTTTCATTTGTTTGGAAAGCATTCTTTCGGATCCTAAATCAGAAACCATTCAGGATAATAATTATATTCATGACACTTATATTGACCCTTTGATCTTGTCTATTTTTGCATTTGGCAGTTTAGAATTTCAATATATTTTCATCCACGGGAACAATAATAAGCATTGCTATATGTGTGGATTAACTTGGTTCTTAATGAAACATTTTAATAAATGTATTTGAAATTTTGCACACATACTGCGTTATATTATTTTAAGTTGATTCGTCAACCGAGTGCTAATATATATATATATATATATATATATATATATATATATATATATATATATATATATATATATATATATATATATATGGACGTATTGTAAGTAGGATGTTAAAATATTGGTTTTAATGAATTAGCACACTGGCTTTCTTGTCGACAATGTTGACAATCAATAAGAATGCTGCTACTAGTACATGCACTGAGGTTATAATGGTTTGGTTTGAAGTCAATAGAGGCATATTGAACAAGGTGTCTTGGTAGAACTTGTGATACTCTTTGAACACATTAGAATGAAGCTAGTGCTGGATGGATTGTTCAAGATATGTTCATCTACAAATTCGTCAAATTAAACTACATCCTTTGAAATGTTCCTGTTTATCTCTGGAATTCCTTATCGCTTATTCACATGTCTGAATAAAAACAAAGCAACAACTCTGTTTGCATGAGTTACAAACATGTTCTAATGTCTGATTACAATTATGTTTTTGAAGTGTGAGTACTACCAAAGGACTGTGACATATCCGTCAGTAGTTTCATAGTTGAACACAGCTTGGAAACTAAAGCTTACAGACTTTATGACACGTTCATATGTCTGGCATTTGTGACCTTATGTAATACATTGTGGTGGGGGCGGTCGGGTAGCCTAGTGGTTTAAGCGTTCACTCGTCACGCCGAAAGCCCGGGTTCGATTCCCGCCGTGATATTGCTGGAATATTGCTAAATTCGGCGTAAAACCATACTCACTCACTCACATTGTGGCGATTTACTGTTCCTAAGAAATATAGGTTCCAAAAAGCATTACTCTTCACACTGTGAAACCTTCAAATGAAATGAACGAAGTTGATTTTACATGTCTTTATTGTGGATGCTACCGGTGGGGCAGACTACCCTCACCTGTATATTTGATAGTGATTCATATACACATGTTTATTATATAGTCGGAATCGTACGGAGTCTGTTTAATACAGAGATTTCTTCTAATTAGTGAAATGTTTTTGTCCCTATTATTTGAACGGAAAATTATATACAGATAAAAAATATAAAATGCATCAAAGAGGTTTGGTAAAGTCACGCTGGTTAAACTATTCATCAGCTCAGGGGCCTTGTCCCCTCGACAAGCAGCCAAGATTATTATTATGATTATTATTATTTACAGATTAAAATATAAAAAATGCAGCAAAGAGAATTTGGGTGATCCTGGCACAGTCAGGATGGTTAGGATCATCGTCAGCTCAGGGCCCTTGTCCCTTTCTTCACGCAGCCCAGACAGCGAATGGGACTTCTCCCAGGAAGCAGTGCCTCATCGAGGCCACCCAGAACTTTTCGGAGAATGTGAGGGCTCCCCAACACTGCAGCCTTCTGCATTTCCCAGATTGTCAAAAGTGCTGTATTCCTGGTAGCAACCCAGGTACTCTCACAATGTCAGTCAACAGATTGGGAGGTACCAAACAAACTGAGTCAGAGCCGATTTGATATGGCACTTCGCTTGGTTGACACTCGTTTCTGTACCGTCAAGCATAATTATTATTATTCCCTCGAGAATTCCTTACGAGAAAAATAGGTTTTTGAAGACGTATTCTATCCCGGATCTTCACTGGTCTGCCCATGAGAATGAGAAGAAACAACTTCAAGACAACCAGAAACCAGTTGATGATTATCACAATGCTGTTTCGCGTTTATGTCGACTTTGAGTTATGTAACTTTGAACTGTGAAGTTAACACGTATCTATTGTGTATTGTTTTGCAGCAAATCGTTATCCATTTGTTACACGTCACGCAGTGTTTGAAATGACAACCCACCCCACACCCCCCTTCCGCAGCTTAAACAAACACGGTGGGGATTATCCCTTGGCCAGCGGCGGGACAAGTAGGAGGTCGCCGTTATGGTACCCAGCAGGATGCTTGTAATACATTGTTTGTTACAGATTGTCAATTGTTATTTTAATTAGTCACAATATCAAGATCAAAGGTGGAGTGCTCACTCCATATTTCATATTCAAACAAACTCGTAACGGTATTTTATTGCTTTAAACCATTCATTTTCATATTTGTTCCAAACTCCTAGGTTTGCCGTTATGTAGGACTGATCAGTATGATTATCGGAAATCGATTAACTCCACTAGGTGAACCTTGATGAAGTGTAGCAGCACCACCGTGTGGTATGGACACATACACAGGCCGTATATGCATCGTTAAGGATTTGCTTACAAATGATGCATTATTAACGAGCTCTCCTTAGAGTCATGGGTAAACCGTTGTCTTTGTAAAGCGTCTCCAACCCTTAAACAATGTGCACTGACATTGGGGCAGGTAAGATGAAACTACATTTATATATATATATGCTTTGAATGATGTTTGTAACTACGGTGAATCTTCGTTTGTAACACATATTTCTTCTCATTGGTCTCTCATGTATGCTGGTGTCCATGTTTTACCTGAAACCATCGGGACCGTGATGAATTGTTTGTAAGTACTTGGACTGAATCATCTCTTGATCTGCTTGTAATGATTTCGATATTTACCATTGCGATAGACAAGACTGTTGAAAGCGTGGGACCTGTGGAGATTCCGTGTGAGAATAAGTCCCAAGAAGCCTGTCCAAGAAATGATGATGAGGCTGAGTGACTTGGTCGATTGGTTCTTACCGTACCTCGATGTCGTTGTTCATTGTTCACGCCCTCCATCACTGGTTTAACTGGCTCAGATTTTATTATTTTAAGCCTGAGATAAAACAGCTGGGACATTGTTGTGCAGCGTGAACTACCATTATAAAACTCTACTGAACATGAAACAGTCTGGTTGGTTACACTCGTGCTGTATTGAGGTAGAGTTCCTCGATTTGTGCAACCATTAATGCCCCATATTACCGACAGTGAGTGTGTGTGTGTGTGTGTAACTCGGATATGTCCAATGGATATGTTCTATGGAATAGTTGATGGGTCCACGTTAAATTGAAATAGTGATTCATAAATACATACGCATGATATAGCCGGAATAGTACAACGGACCCTTTTTCAGTAGAGACGTATGATAACGGAACGGGTTTTATCGCGTTTGTTTACCAAGTGACGATTAAGATGAGCGATGTTATTCTAATAACGGCTTACATTGGCACGTGGAGGGTACAAATCTAATAGTTTCATTTTCGGTATGTAAAGATCTCATCAACTGAAGGAATATCAACAATTATCATAAGTGGTATATTTATGTTTCGCAAACTTTGCTCAATGATGAAGGTCACACAAAAGTGAATATTCATGAATATATGCTCAGGGCCCATTTGCACAAAATGATCTTAGCGCTAAGATTATTTTAAGCCTATGCTAAAGTATGGGAGTTACGATCATCTTAGCGCTAAAACTATTGTAAGCCTATGCTGAAGTATGGGTGTTACGATCATCTTAGCGCTAAGATCGCTTTGTGCAAGTGGGCCCTGGTATCGCCAGGAATGTGTCGCTCCTTTTCTGTGCCAGCAAGAAGTTCCGACGAACAAATACAAAGTTGTCTAAGCCTGGTATTGAACTGTACACATATGGGCTAAATTCCTAACATTTTCGAGTACATTAAACAGGGATATGACAAAGTTGTTCAAATAGATTTAATGTGTTAAAGGGAACAAACTCGGAACTAATAAGGGGTATCAACATTTACGTATATGTCGCATGCCTAGACAGAATTATATAACTTCACAACCTGTGAGACAAGACATCTGGGGTCAGTATGGTCCCAGTCGTCCAAAGCGACGCATTTCGCTGTGTAGAACCTATGATCGCGGGTTCAAATGCCTGACGTGATTATGTTTCAAGGATTATCAGCACAATACCCATGCGCATAGGCTTCACCAAAGCGATGAACGTCGAAGACCTGTTTCACTTTGTACTACCGACCTGTGATATTATTGAAATACAGTTCAAAGCCACGCTAAACCGGCGTTACAAGGCACTCGCTATACGATTGCTTTAGTTTGTGTAGAAAACTTCAACACACATTTAAAACTGCAACGTAAGATCGCTATACAGGTTGTGTGTTTCAATCCGTATAAATTATTTATATGTTATCGATCGTCGTAGACGTGTCTAGGTTATACTCAAGATGGTCGACAATGGTGACTACAATCCATATTTACCACAGCTATACTGACTTAACCGATTGAGATAACATGCCAAAATATTTGACATATAAGTGTTAACAATTTACGACCGATGTTGAGGCTAATTGGAGCGCTGTCTATCTGTCGAGCATATGTCAATGTTTCTCTCGATAAATACAAATCGAAACTTCTATCGGGATTTGTTTGCACTCAAGTTCGAATCCACAGGGTAGTCACACCATATTCAACTGATGTTTGTAATATTATTGGCACAGAATTTCACGTCATTCGTCATACAGTTTTAAAATTAAATAACGATTGTATTATTGTGTTTTTGTAAGTAACGTGAACTTTTTCCATTTTGTGTTGTCTGGATCTCTTTCTTTGTCAACAATATTTCCTTCTGGGTCTCATAAGAAATAGTTATAGTAGAGTAGAATTAGAGGTAGAAGTAGTAGTAGTAGTAGTGGTAATAGAAGTAGTAACAGTAGTAGTAGCAGCAGCAGTAGTAGTAGAAAATAGCAGTAGTAGTAATATTAGTAGTACGTAGCAGTAGTAGTAGTCGTGGTGGTGGTGGTAGTAGTAGCAGTAGTAGTCGTAGTAATGATAATAATTGTATTGGAAGAAAGTAGTAGTTGTAGTAGTAGTAGTAGTAGTAGTGGTAGTAGTAGTAGTAGTAGTCGTGGTGGTGGTGGTGGTACATACGCATGTTCAACCTTACATCATACTTGTACAACGATATTTCTTGATACCTATATATTTACAAGAATCCTCGTTCATAGATATTTTGGACATCATTTTTGACACATTGACCTATTTTTCGTAGACTCGTCACGACACAATTGCATTGACCACCTGAACAACTACAAACAGGTACAAACAATAGTTCTTACAAGCAACCGAAAATATACGGTCAACTTGCATTGCTGATGATGCATTAATGATTCACTGCATGGCAATCAACACTTAACAAAGTGCATGTTGACCTTTGGCGATCCACAAAACGTGACGAAGACGGCTTCCGATGCACTGTGCTTTTCATCTGTTGTAGTGTTGTTAGCATTTCAGGGGTATTATGCTCAATGTAGGGTTGCTTCAGTTGATATAAGGCATAAGGTGTGTAATGTGATGGATTCATGGTTGACAGGATGTCAAGGCCGTTCTTATCGAAAAATTGTCACATTTGTTCAAGCACTCATTCATTGATATACTCAGTGAGACAGTATTCCTCTATTCATAATTTATGTCATTGATATTGGAATAGTACGTTGTAAGTGATGCTTGTGATAGCCGTTGCTTTCCTCAGATTTATACCGTACGGAGAAGAAACACGTAGAATAACATGACATTTTAAAGACTTATCGAAGATGTTCATACGATAGCCTTGGATGTTCAAGAGTCACTACAAGCCGAGCCGACACGTGTCTGAGGATACTGATGCGGTTCAAAGAAGATAACACTCCCCAGAGATGTCAGCCATTACGTTGCTGGGGATCCTGTTGCTTGGTGCATCCCGAACAGCTATAACACTGGATACAGGTGCGTCTGTAATGAATCATTAAATGTCTTCTATTTGTTACAGTACATAAAACCATCACAACAAAGATACCTATTGTGCTTAAGTCAAGCAGAACAAGTTTATTTGTCCGCAAACGGAACTAGTCTCTGGCGACACTGGCGACACGTTCTAATAGTGGACTAGATTATTAAAGCGTACTGGAGTTTTAACTTCAAAGGCTTTTAATGTTTGAGTATTTGTTTGTTTGTTTCTGTCTACTTTACACAAGTTATGAAGTGCTATTTTCTTCGCCATAAGAAATATACAACACTTTGAAATGGAAATAAATTGACAGAAGTTGTTTTCTTTTACAAACCAAAACATAACAAAACGGCATCGAACTACCGTGGTCTGTGGTGTTATGCGGCTCGCTGTGTAAACAATGAAATGGTTGCTCCATCTGCAGGGAAACAGTTCATATCATCCTAACTATCTTTACATATTCAGTCATCAATACATCGATCATTGCCATCGTGAATGCGTGTTATTGTCTACATTGGCTGGCCTTTTGTGGCCAATTAGTCATATTTGGGTTACAGATATGCCTTCATTGTTAAATGTAACTTCTTTATAATATTCGAGGCAAGGGAGTTAATCTTTATTTCATGTACTGTAGAGGCCATAGGCCTATAGTACAATTTGAAGAATTTACAATTTTATACAATTTATGTACATATCTCACCAAATCACCTCACGTCATTGCACATCGCATCTCAACACAGTCACATAATTTCACACAAACAGTACAATACCATACCCTGTCATTTCATAATTTCTATTTTACCATATCACAACTTGTTATATCATACAACATATTCTATAACATCATATCATATTGTATCATTATTATAAGATCATACTATATAGTATTATTTCATATACTATTATCATATCATAACATACCATACATACCATCGTTCCATATATCACACCTAAATTATATCACATTTCAACATGTCATATCACACAACACATTAGCAATTTCATAGTTTGTCCCATCATATCTTATCATATCATACCCTATAATGCCATGTCATTCCATGCCAATTTATATCATATCAATCAATCAATATTTATTCAAAACTGGAAGACCGCAGGCCATGTAATATGTACACTAAAAAACAGAATTTACCAAATTTCTATAATACACATAACATATTGCATCATATCCCCTCATGTATCATATCATACCACAACACTTGTCATATCATATCACATCATGTCATGTCACATCATATCATTTCATATACATATAACTGTACTAAACCATTTGTAATATCACGTCCCACAATATCATATGACAGCTTAATAGTTTAATACCATTTCTAACTCTTTTGTTTGTAGTTTATTCAAATGGCAAATATCTATAAAAGTGTACTTAATGTATATACACAATAGTTTCCTAATACCAAGCAGCAGAGATTATTCTTTCATGAGTTTCTGTCGGTATAAAGAGGCATAATATATATACATGGAAACATTTTGTAAGATACTTCTTTTTTTGTTTGACAGCAGTGTAACAAATTTAATAATATTAAGGTACCTGTAATAATAAGCTTGCAGGTATTTTTCTCTAAGGTGTAAATACACTGGACATACAAGTAAGAAATAAAATTCATCTTCTACTGAGTTTAAACTACATAGATTACAGATTCTTTCTTCACGAGGAATGTTTGCATAGCGCCCTGTTTCTATTAAAAGGTCGTGAGAAGAACATCTGAAACGTGAAAGAGCCGTTTGAAATTTTTTAACATTAACTTTTGATAAATAATCTTCCATAATTTTTTCTGATTTAAACATTTTGTAATAAGAGCACTTGTTTGTTAGAGTCAATGATGCAGTCCAAGATTGTAAATAAATATCCTTTAATCTCTGGGTTAATGAAAGTATAAACATTGATTTGGAATACACATTTTGGTTTTGCCAAATATCTCCAAAGCCACAACTGAAAAGTAATTCTCTAACACCTGTAACCCAGTTTCTATTCCCATTATTATCATAAACTATCATCATATTATAACACTTTTTTGGCAATCTATATGAGGGCATGTCAATAAGTCTCAGCCAGTATTTAATAACTTTTATATTTGAATATACATAGAGAGGGAATCTTCCACATTCTCAATACACCACCAAGCTGGAAGTGTTTATTTTAACACCTAGATACTTTTTGCAAACATATAAATGAATCTTTTCTATGGCATCAAAGTGCTGTAAACCCCAGACTTCTGTCCCATGTCATCATATTATAACACTTTTTTGGCAATCTACATGAGGGCATGTAAAAAATATTGAAAGCGCTCAACATCCCTTGGCTTATTCAACGACATTGCGTGTGGAGATGATAGATCACTGAGAGGAGCTTATGCACACTCGATGACCCCAGCAACCTTGTTGCTAGGCTGACGTCACATGGCATTGTTTCGCCGAAGGATCTTGCAACAAAATTCCACAAATTACGTCATCGGATATTGTGACGTGATTGTAAACTTTGAGTTGCAAGGCCCCGTTCCAAAAGGCGATCGTGCTGTAGCGCAACGACAGTCGTTGGTCTAAGTTTAAGTATGTGAGTTGCGATAACCTTAATGCTGCGATTATTTTGTGGAACGGACGCCTGAATTCTAAAGGTAGACCCTTGTATGGTATTAAATTCATACGTTTCAACTTTTGTCTTGTTTGAAGTATTCTGTTAAACTCAATTGTATTATGCCGTGGATCGTGCAGGTGTCAACCTATTCACACTCGACAGTATAATTCTAAAAACGTTTTAAATGGCAAGTAATAAATAAAATAATAAACTCGCTACCGTGTAAAAGCAATTTTATGAAACTCGTGAATAGTTGTGGTATCTGAATCGCTTTCGCTCGCCAGATACCAGAACTATTCACTCGTTTCATAAAATTGGTATTACACGGGAGCTCGTTTAGTATTCTATATTTATGCCATGACAAGTTATTTATAAAATCCTGTATTTTCTATTTTTTGTCCTTTAAAGGACCAATATTCTTTACTTGCTGAATGACCTCCATTCTTAAATACCAAAACTTTTGTTTTACTCATGTTTACTGTTAGCTTCCATTTATTGCAGTAACTTTCAAGTTCATTAATTTGACACTGCAGTCCTTTGATTGTTGATGAAAAGAGAGCAGTATCATCTGCAAATAAAAGTAAACATATCTGTGTAATATCTGGATGGAGCTGAACACCATAATTACAGTTGGTATTTATTTGTACAGCCAATTCATTTATGAAAAAAGTAAAGAGAAATGGGCTTAAGATGCATCCTTGTCTTACTCCTAACTGACTAATAAATGTTTCTGAAATCTCATTATTGTTTCGCACACACACCTTAATATTCTCGTAAATGCTACCTAATAGTTTGTTCATCTTAAAGCTGAGGCCATGTGATCTTAAAAGGTTCCATAGTTTATGTCTCTGCACTGAGTCAAATGCCTTGACATAAAGTTTCCCACCCTTGACACTGAGGTATTTGTTAACTAAAACTTGAAGGATAAAAATGTTGTCAATAGTTGAATAGCCCTCTCTAAATCCAGCTTGTTCTTCATTGATTTTGTTGAGGGTATCTGCCCAAACCACTAACCTTTTATTTATTATGTTTGTGAATAGTTTACCAAATATACTTAGCAGTGAAATACCTCTGTAATTGTTTATATTATTTAGATCACCTTGTTTATGTATTGGCACAAGTATCTCTATTGACCATGCATCTGGAAATGTTCCATTTTCTAATATAACATTAAATATAAGTTCAAGGTACGGTACAATGATATCTAAGGAGTGTTTAAGAAACTCAGGAATAATCTGATCCATTCCAGGTGATTTGTTGCATTTAAGATGGTGTATACTCTCTAAAATCTCATCTCTGGTAATAGGGGAATCCAGTATATCATTTGCAAACTGAGTATCTGTTTGAGTCTGAGTATTATCTTGTGACTCCTGGAACTGATTTTCAGGGATCTGATCAGTATCTGTGAAAGTAAATAATTCTTTAAAGTAAATGTACCAATCCTTAATGTTGATATTATTTGCCTTTTGATGTTTGCTTAGACTTCTCAGTTCTGACCAAAATAGTTTAGGGTCATGAATGTTATTTTCTAAGGATTGTTGCTTATCATGTAAATATTCTTGTTTCTTTTCTTTGCACACAGCTATATATTTGTTTCTTATGTTATGATATTCTCTAAGTGAGTCCTTATCTTTACATCTCCTGAATTTATTGAGTGCCCTACATCTTTTCTTTTTAAGACCCTCACATTCTGCATTATAACATTTAAACAATAGATTTAGCTTTGGATTTCTAACCCTTTTTTGCATGTCTGAGCCCGCTAATTTCAAGGCATCCACTAAGTAATTAATACTTACCTCAATATTGGACAATGCTGTATTTACTGATTTATCAAGTAAATCTTGAACTTGGTCAGAAAAGAGCTGATCTCTAAAATTTTGTGATTTGTCATTATCCCAGACAAACTTGAAAGATTTAGTAGCCTGATCATTCCTTTGTTTTGAGGGTTGGTGTGTTTCAGGTACTCTTAATGTCATAGTAACTGGAAGGTGAACTGAATCTGTGCGAGATTCTACACCAAAGTCTGCAACATTGTCAAATAATGGAGAAGAGGCTATAATATAGTCAATTACACTGGTACCATTTACACCAATAAAAGTAACGTCACCGACATTTTTATCTCTACCACATCTTCCATTCATGATATGAATATTCAGAACTGAACATAACGTTTTCCAAAGCTGTTTAAAACTCTATCTAGAGAAAAGCGTTCAAGATTGAAGTAATCCGATATAAGATCAGACATGAAGTATTTATGGTTTTCAGTATACTCTATTATGTCATCTTCAACAAAGTCAGATTTAGTTCCAGTTCTGGCATTGAAATCACCACCACATAATACATGTACATCATCAAATTCTGATAATATTGCAAGTAGTTTCTCTTGAAAAAGAGTGACACCATTTTTACAATTAGAACTAAACTTACCATACCATGAGGAACTCGCTGGGTGTATGTACGCACACGTTGTTTGTCAAATAGTAGGAAAATTGCATTTTCAGAATTTTTTGTCCATTTTACATATTTAGACAATTCTGTCCTAGCCATAACTAAAATGTCACCAGAAAGTCTGCCATAAGATGATAATTTATCTGCCTCTTTGTTAATGATTTCATAATTTTGAAAAAACATTACCTAAATTGAGATCCTTACACCATGTTTCTGTAATTCCAATGATGTCAAAGTTCTGTACATAGGTACAGGAGTCAGAGTCACTTAATTTACTCCATATTCCAAAATATAAATTTCACAAGATTTTCCTTACTGACAGGTTGATTGTCAAATAGGTCCACAGATTCTTGATGAAGCGTCCTACAATCACTAGAAGTATGTACATTGTCTCTTACTCGGCCCTGACCACACCCCTAGCTCGACTGTCCCCTAGAGGCAGCATGAGAGTAGGATCTAAGCTGTCGCCTGGGAGGTTTGTTCTGCTGGGTGATATTTTCCTGTGAATTCTGTACACTGACCTCCTTAGGTTCCTCGACGAGCTTATTCCCTTTGTAGTAGTATCTAGTGTTAGGGTTCTCACTATGAACCTTCTACAGTTCCTGTCTCTGTTGGTTTGACAGGTCATTAGCGATTCCTATCCCATTCTGTTTCAGTACACTCCTAAGTTTCACTGAGTGTCACGTGTCTTCCCAGTGGCACATGCGCAAGATTATAGGCCTGGTTTTATTGGAGTTTTTTTAGGAAATACGGTGGGCCCTCTCAATGTCTCTCGGCACAAGCGGGGTCAGACCCATTGTTCTCCTTGCGTCGTTCGTTTATAATATTATTAATGAATACAATGTTTTTAAATAAATTCCGAAATCAGATCGACTCCAAGATTTCGAGGCATTGCGTGAACAAACAATAAGGATAGCCAATGCTGGGAAGGGGCTCTGTTCGCCTGTCGCGCCGAAGACCGGTTCCCGATTTTTTATAAGGAGGTAACCTGTGTTTCAGATTGTCCGGTACGGAACTGCCTCAGATGTCGAGAGGGAACATGCACTGTTTGCGAACCCGGCCTCTACGGGAGGGATTGTTCTCAGTCCTGTCCTACTAACTGTGAGGAACGGCTGGTGTGTGCGCACGGCTACTGCAACGGAGGGTGTCGAGACGGCTGGCATGGGTCCAGGTGTAACACCCGGTGCCCAGACGGTTGTCCTGTATGTGACAAGAACACCGCCCGGTGTACCCGAACTGACGCACCGCCCCTACACAATGGTAGGTCATACAATATAGGAATCTGACGTTCTGGTTAAAATGACACGAGAGTTGTACGCACGAGAGTTGTACATTATCTTCCTTGTTCAAGTATCTATGACGTTAGTCCAGGGAGTGATGTGTGAAATTTGGATTTCACTCCCGGTGTATTTATATCTTAGGAGGGTTGTTTGTTCGTACAAAGGGCACATGATATCTGTATTTGAATGGAACTTCCGATTCCTGTAGTCATCCTGTAAGTATAAAGTATTAGACAGACCCTCTGTTGGAATTCATAGCATTTTCCTTCATGTTACACGATTCCTCGGTGGGAAGCGCAGAAATGCTAATTCATGGCAGGGTTACCGAAGGTGGGATGCGGGTGCATCGTGGATCTTTATTTTACCTCCATAATCCTTTCCAGTTTCCCATTTAATGTAGTTCATGTCAGAAATGATTCTAGGCCTCTGGTATAATATGCCTTCAAGTTGAGTGAGTACAATTTCCAGCGCATGTTGATACGTATAACATCCATACATCAATACATTACATATAAGTGCAATATGATACTTTCACAATTTAGCATGTTTTACGACAAAGAACTATAATGCAACTCCAGTGGTAAGCTACCAGTGACGATCCGGCTTAGAACTGGTCTTCAGCAACCCATGCTTGTCGTACGAGGCGATTCTGCTTGTGGTAAGAGGCGAGTAATATGATCGGGTGGTCAGGCTCGTGTACGTCGATGCCCATGATGACAATCGCTGGACTTTCTGGTCCAGACTAGATTTTTTTGCAGACCGCCGTCACGTCACTGGTATATTGCTGAGTGCGGCATCAAACAACAAACAAATGCTTCGCCTCAATCAAACGGACGCAATTCCTTTGCAGAGTGTCCAGCCAACTGTTATTGTGTGCAGGCGTCTTGCATCCGATGCCGGACAGGCTTCGCAGGGCATAACTGTAAACTTCAAGGTTAGTTGACACTGATACTGGTACTTTTCTTCTCAGAAGCAGATCTATCTACTTATCTTATTTGTTCACATGTATTTCAATGGGTATTTCAGACTCTCACAAAGCAGACAAACCAACCAGCAGCTATGGCGTGCTGACAGCGATTTTCACTGGGGTAGGTTTGCTGCTAGGCGTGACCTTGCTGACACTCTGTGTTACATGCTACATCTGCCGGGCGCAGAAGAGATGGAGACAACCAACCGTCGGCGTGACGCACGAAGAGCGAGACGCTCCTCCAGCATATACTTCTTCCACGATAGAAGAGTCTGTGGAATTACGAGAAAGAGGCGATAACGCTCAAAACAGAAGAGTACTTCTGCCAGATTATCGCGCGACAGCTCTTCCTCCATCGTATGACTCCATTTTCTGTGAGATATCACGTGACAGAGAAGAGTCACGTGGTGCATGTAAGCCACCCTCGTATGAAACAATACAGCACGTGTGACCGACTTTACATGGTCTGTAAAACTACATGTATGTGAATAGTAACAAAACATTCAAACAATACATGTATGTGGCAAGGAACTGGACGTCCAAACAATACAGAATCAATATATCTTTATTGCAAGGAAAACTAACAGGCTATATGCCTATAGTGCAAATATGTGTGGATATCATATGTACAGAATATATCCAAAATTGTTGATACCACTTATCTTATCCGTAACTTTTTTGCAAGGAATATATAAGCTGCAATGGACTTTAATACAATTGGTATTTACAGAAGACATTAATTCTTCAAACTTAAAGATAACTGGAGGTACAGAATTTGAAGTAGCTATGCACAACGTAGACGTTATGCGAATGGGCAAATGAGAACAAAGTGGTGATCGTCTTCTATCAACGTAAAATTCCTCCTTTTACACGGTTTATTTATCCTCTGGGTTTTGACAAGTCTTCATGTTACTATTTACAAGAAATGTGATGAGCATAGGGAGAAAGACATTTTAACAATACATATATGGCTGACTAATTAACAACTGGATGTTGACAACTGGATGTCAAATTGAACTTCTGGAAGAGAATGATATGCTTGTCCGATTCTGGGGACAGTTTAAATACAATCTGGAAATATGATCATAAACCAGCGTACTTGGGAAAACATAACACTAATATTACGTCAGTATATCTTAAATTTGAAAAAATATGTTAGATTAACCCTTCTTTACATGTGTTGTATAGCAACAGCTCTTGTGTTAATAATGCACATATTCATGTAAATGCTAGCACTATGCATTGGCTCTGAAAAATATCAGAGATATTGTAAATCTTCGGATATATATTCTGGAGGAAACATGTTCGTTCGTTCGTTCGTTCGTTCGTTTATCTGGTCTAATGGCAATTTAAACAATACAATATCGGGTCTAGGGGCAAGATTTACAAACATTACATTACCTGGTCTAGTGGTGAGACATTCAAACAATACATGCACCTGGTCTATTTGCTAGAAATAAAAAAATACATGCACCCGGTCAAGTGTCTAGACATTAGGGCAGTACATTTTCTAGTCTAGTGGCTAGACATCCAAGCAACATATTAGGTGATCGAGTGGTTAGACATTCAAGCCACACATTACCTGGTCTAGTGGTTAGACATTCAAACAACACATGCACCCGAATAGACGCTACCCATTTAATGGCAATACATTCACCTGACAAGCAGCTGTAGGTTTAAGCAACAAGACATTCAAACGATTCGTGTATCTGAATGGTATCCAGGTAGTGGTACAAGATGGTTCTATCGAAAAAAAAAAATTCTCCCCGACAGTTCTGGACAAACATTATTATGCTTCAAACTGTCGAAACAAAGAAAATGACATTGTTGCAAGGTGCTTTCTTTTAAAAACTTCAGGCTCATAATTTTAAATTAAAAAAATAATCTGCTTTTGTAATTGTTTCTGAAAAAGCATCTACTCTCGATACAAAATTCTCCTTTAATATGATAGAAATCTGTGAATGAAACTGGTTGGTTCAACCCAAATGAAACACAAGACATGGTTAGTTGATGGTATCATAGTTGTGCTTTGGACGTTAGGTTTGTAGTGTTTCGGCCTCTGTTGCTAGCCACGTAATGTTTTGATAACGTTTGTATATTTGTCGTTGAATACAGTTTTCAAGCGTATACTTTTTAGTCCGGCCGTTCAGCTAAAGTTAAGCTGACTTCGACGTAAAACAAGAAGCAAAAATATAACAGTTACATTCTAATGAAGGCTGTTGCAACTTGGACTCCTTGAACATTTGCATTGTCATAGGTCTTGATTGTTATATGGTGTCCCCTGAAGTCGAACTGACAGAGACCCCCGGGATGTATTGCAATGCACAAGGTGTATACAGCCATGTCGAACTCCGGGGACACGCCCACAAACATACTGCCGACTTGCTTCCGCCCTCCTTTCCACGTGAACCGGGCCCCGAGAATATACGGCTGAAACAGGCATATTATACTACACTTTAAAACAAAACTCTTCTCCTAATCATAAGAAATCTCTGCTACAAGTAGTATGAATAGTTAATCAAGTCTACGTTCTACACTGCACTGTTATACAGATTAACACATTCAATAGCAGAGTTGTTTTTTTCTTGTTTGAGATGTTGTTTAGACTTAACAAAACAGCAACATAATCAGACCTGACAGATTGGTCAAACATGAAATCCTTTCCATGAAGAACCTCTTCCCTGGTGATTACTAGATTCTAATGTATGCTCGCGGACGTGTAGCTTCAGCGACATGTGACAAAGCGTTTTCCAAAATTATAAAAATGAGTGAATGTGTGAGTGAGTTGGGTTTTTCGCCGATTTTAGCAATATTCCAGAAGTATCACGGCGGGAGACACCAGAAATGGACTTCACACATTGTAGCCATGCGGGAAATCGAGCCTGGGTCTTCGGCATGACGATTTAACCATTAGGCTACCCAACAAAAGCATAAGAAATGTCCTTGTAAATTCCGAATATATTATAAGCATGCGTTATCAGCATGTATCAAATGGCGATGGTACAAGGTTTTCGCGAAAATATGAGTATAATAATATCCTAACCCACCGGTGGCGCCGTCACAAACACATGCAAACACAAGTCAAGTGTTCACCCGAACAATCACAGGAACATATGATACAAGTCAAAACAGGGAATTGCATTGTCTTCCACATATCTACCATAAACTTTTGAAGCATTACTTCGGCACTGAATGCTGTCATCGTGATTAAACAAAGTTTGAGCAAAGAGTCGTATGACGCTCTTTCAAGTCTTCTAGAGCTGCTTGGGGGCGGTCGGGTAGCCTAGTGGTTAAAGCGTTCGCTCGTCACGCCGAAGACCCGGGTTCGATTCCCGACATGGGTACAATGTGTGAAGCCCATTTCTGGTGTCCCCCGCCGTGATATTGCTGGAATATTGCTAAAAGCGGCGTAAAACCATACTCACTCACTCACTCACTCTAGAGCTGCTTGAACATTGCTAGACATAAAGACAATGTTGGCAATCGGAAAGTTGAAGAAAACTCATCTATACCGGCAGGTTAAATCCGATAATCAATATTACACACATTACTAGTATTTACACTACGTGGTTAGAAGCTACAATATTGCCAATGCTTAAAGTCAAATAAAATTAATTTCTTGATATATTTCAATGATCTATTGTATTAGTTCAATGATAAACGTTCATTTCAATAACTTGCGACCATCTGTATGTATCAGTGTGTGAACGTTGTTAATGACACAAAATCAGCCGGTAACCCTATGCTAGTATTGCATGTAAGTGTACAGATATAAGTCACATATCACACTTTACCTCCAACTTGGTCACATATCCTTCATAGCTCAACCGCCCCTGTTGTTCCTCCAGATAAAACTGAATCCAGTTGTGGAAGCCTGTCACTCTGCTCCCTCTTAGTTCTCCAACCATCACGTGCTCAAACCCGCTGCTGCTGACCACACCACGTGACGTCCGAGGGTAAAGGTCAAACCAAAGAGTTTTCAGCAGATTCCTTAAATCGATGGTCGTGTCTTGAATCACTCCTGAAGCATCAGGTGTAAATATTGTTACTTGTAAAGAAGAATTGATTTTAATAGTTTTGCGTATATTGAGGTAAAAACGTGAAATCCCGTGTGCATACTCTGTAAATCCTCGTAGCGGCTTCACACAAATTGTGCACATCGTTTTCAACATTCATATTGAAGTCAATTAATTTTTGTTAATAACTAAGATAACAAAAAGCTCATCAAAGAATTTTCTTAGCATAAATACAAAACACTGGCGTGAAAGATACGAAATTAGTGACATGTTCAGCGCAATAATGCAAGACAAGCCCCGCCCAACCTATTATCAGCCAATCAGGAAACAGTTAAGCGGAAGTGGGTGTGGCCTAATTTCTTTCCGGTGTATAGAAACATAAACGCAAAAATGTGCATGGTTATCCAATCAAATGCCTTGGGATTAATTTGAATATGTGTAGTTAATATCAAATACCGTTAGTGGAAAACACTTAAAATCGAGTGGTCAAGAATTGCTGGCCTGGGTCTTTGCGTATCATCTCTCCCCGACGGCGTGGCTCGCTGCCCGTGCTGTCAATATCTGGTTAGGGGAGGCGGGGTAGTCCACTGGTTAAAGCGTTCGCTCGTCACACCGAAGGCCCCGGATCAAATCCCCATATTGGTACAATGTGTAAAGCTCAGTTCGGGTGTCCCCCGCCGTGATATGTGATATTACAACCGTATTGCTCAAAACACAACTCAATCACTATAACTGCCCTATACTGTCGTGATATAGCTGGATAATTGCTCGATTATTGCTGGCTGTAGTTATGGACAACGTTTACCAAGGTCGTAGTTAACTTTTTTTGACGGGTGGGGGTGGGGGATTGCGCAAGTAACCTATTTCTATGAAAAGAAATCCTGGTTGTCCTCCCCGGCTTGCTACGGCACTGTTTACTCGCCTTGCTGCGCTAGATAATGACGGAGGAAGGACATTGTGTCCGTAGCTACGACGCCATCTAGGAAAGCTTCGGTTTCATGTCTCTCGCTAGCCGTCAGAGTCTCGGGCACACGGACGTTGGGGTCGTAGTTGTCAAGGAGGTTGATGAATAGTCTGTATGTGTTTCTGTTGAAGAACTCATGGCTGATATTGTTGAACAGACTGAAACACAATAATCACAGAGGGCTTAATATACGAGAATGTCTCTTTCCGAATAGTTGCACGACAACACTACATTAATGGCTGGTGTGGGGCATGAGTGGCTAGTCAGTCTAAGGCGCCGCAATATGCTCAGCAGCGAAACCTATGATTGCAGGTTCGAATTCCTGTTCGCCCCGATTATGTTTCTAGATTTGTCAACATCATACCCGTGTTCGGTGGTTTCACCAATATAGTAAACGTCTGAGACCTGCATCACTTCGGACTTTCATCCCGCGATATAACTGGAATGCTGTTAAAAGCGGGATTAAACCAATCTCACTTACTCATTACTAATTACCGAATTACTAAACCTGTAATATTTGCAGTTAGTGCCACCAAAACGGTATATTCTTTCTAAATAATGTGTATTAAATGTGTATGGGGAAAGACAAGTCTTTGTTGGCTAAGGTAACGTGGACGCGCACTTACGGATACACTGCTCTGTCGCTGGTGTCACGGGTAGTAGTGTGATTCTGGAAGTTGAGGCTGAACTCGGAGAGGGGGAGGCGGTTCACGTCGGACGCCCACAGTCCGGCCACCACTTCCGTCAGGGTAGCTGAAATACCGTTACAGGTACTAGGTGAAACTAAACCGTAGGTAATGTATGTTAAACGATTCAAACAAATGAAAAGCCTTCCAATACGTCAAGGGAGATGTTGTAGCATAATGGTTGAAGCGTTCGCTCGCCACTCCGTAGGCCTGGGCTCGATTTGCAAGATGGAGGCAATGCGTAAAGCGCATTTCTTATGCCCCCCACTCTCTCACTCCCGCCAATAGAATTAGTGGTTTAACGCCGCTTTGAACAATATTTCAGTTATATCACGGTGTGGTAATGCAACTGTAAGTGATAAGTGATACAGGCGTTTACAAGCATGGTGTTCACAAATATTGTTTGAATCAGCGTTAAACTCTAATCCATCTCACTCACGTCTAGGGCCGGAAGGGTAGCCTCGTGGATAAAGTCGCTAACAGCGTAGAACTTGACTCACTCACTCAGGGGACTTACCGTTAGAACGCATGGTGACAAGTGATCGGCTGTTTGGCGTTGCTACAGGTACAACTCCACTTGAACAGACATCCACGTAGTCATGACAACAGTCTCCATTTCGCTGACACTGGTCATTACAGAAGCAGGTTCCGACTCTGCCAACGGTACATCGACCAGAACACGAACCCAATGTCGGAGGTGTGGCTGCAACAAATCATGTGTCAAAACCGCGTGAACAACCCCAATACAGCCATAGCTCCCTGTATAAATGCCTCGTCGTACCCCAAACTGAGTCTCTTGTAATCACTCTCCTACCCAGAGTTCCATGCGGCCGGCAGCCAGCTAGCATAGTACCTCTGCCACAGGTCAGCGCCATGTGACGATTCGTCACATCTTTCACAGTCCATTCAAGATATTGCATAATTATGCTTTTCATCCGTTTCATGTTTGACAAGTCTACATATTTTCATAAACAAATGTCAAAGAATGGTTAACTTTCATTGAGAAAGTATGCAAATACGTAAAAATCTACTTGTTTTTGCGTAGTTATCCTATGTTTACATTGGTTGTACGGCTCCACGTGCAGTCATCGAAGCCCAACGGAGAGCTAGCGACACGGTCCCTTTGATGCATAAATATATATTGTCATGCAACTCACTGTCGCAGTTGTAGTAACCTATCTATATAGTTATGCAAAACAATATGTAAAGCGCCCCCAAATACTTGCATTAGTCCGTTCTATACTGATTTCTGAAAAAGCGCGTTTGTTTACAAACAAGAGAAAAGTCCGGTCACGTGATATGCAAATTAGCCTGTGGCAGTGGTGTTATGCTGAGTCACCACTGCGACGGAGTGTGTCTTGTAATGTGTGCATTTCATTGCGGTTATTTCGGAAAATCAGCAATGCTCCAGTTGCTCCAGGACCAGGCAAACCAGTAAATGTGATCAACACACCACGCCTTCCGAGTACGAGGACTCGAGAATTGGTCTCCAGCAGCCCATATTTGTGGTAATCGGCGGTCAAAGGGATCGGGAGGTCAGACTCGCCTACCTGCATGCCACTGTATCTCAAGTGCGTAGGTGGATGCCCATGATGTCAATCGCTTCATTGTCTGATCCTGACGCAATTAATTAAAGACCGCCGTCTTACAGCTGGAATAGTGCTGAATGCGACAATATCAGATAGCTAAGTCGCAAAGAGCAATGAAGAACGAAGCGTGGTTTGTTTCACGACAAAACATTGTTCTATCATGACATAATTTCTGGAGATTCGAACACGTTATTTTTAAGGGGGAAGTGTCTGGTGAGTTGTTCCCCATATATGTAGCAGGGCAACGCAGATAAACGCGATGGCCGAACGATCGCATCCAAAACCGGGAGAGATATGGCAATCGGTATTGGAAGATATGTACAGGAAATCGACGTGAGGATTGTGAGAATATGCGGAAAATACCCACATGTGCATAAAATAGACTTGTCAGACGTTGCCGAGGTCGTATTCTATAGAGGGAGTCATCATTAGGGGTTAATGTTTTGAAAGCTTGTACATTTTATCGACATCCTTAAAGAGGCTGTACATTATGTTGATATCTCAAAAAGAAATAGACGACTCGTGGTCGTTATTTATCGTACAATAAAACACTGAAGGGAGAATAAGCCACTCGCCCCTTATGGTTAATTCTCCCTATAGTGTTTTTTGTACGAGTCAACGAGTCGTTTATTTCTTAATTCAACAACAATTAACAAGGGTAAGATGTCACATAAAGACTCAATTCACAGAACTTGACCACATGATCTCCTTTATTGTCTGCTCTTACGACACCGAGGGATATTGAGTCGAGATTGGTCGAAGTAGGGTCACTATTAATGGATGAAGGTGACTGACCTATCCTTTGTGAAATCTGGGTAGTACATGCATCTTGGTAGTCATGACAACAGTCTCCATGTCGACGGCAACGGTTGTTGCAGAAGCAGTCTCCGACTTTCCCAGCGTTACAACGGCCGCTACACGAAACAGCAACTAGAACAAAGTAGGCTCATGACATATCTTTAAGGTACACACCGCCACATGTACTCCCAGAACGCTGCTAAGGCAACGTCGTTGGTTAAGGTGCTTTGAAAGCAATTACTTGCACCATCCACTGTAAGGTTAAAAGAGAAATATATTAGCAACTTAGACTTCCATCATGTCATAAATGAATTAATAAATTCATACATTGAATGGACATCAACCCATACTGATTCACGTAGGTGAGTGAGCAAGTGTGGCATTATGTCGCTTTCAGCAATATTCCAGAAACATCACAGCGGGGACACCAGAGATGGGCTTCACACATTGTACCTCTGTGGGACTCCATCACGGGCTCTCGACGGAAAGAGCGAACACTTTAACCACTAGGCTACCCACCGTCCCACACACGTCAGACATGTTAGAAGTTTTACGATATTCCGAAGACACGTGACTTGTTGATACTACTCGAATGGTACATTCCCACAAACTAGAGTTTCTATCCTTCACATGCCTACTCAAAATAATCACACTTATATGAAAGCAGTACACATGATCAGTCTTTGTAAGATGAATCCTTTGGGGATTCGGGGGGCAGAATAAAATAGGAGTGTCCCATGCTAATCGCATTGGACGAGAGGGGGTAGTGACTTTGCTGATTGTGTTTTATTGTGTCCAAACGGCGCGGAACGTTGTAATACCACCGTCGTACTACCGGTTGTAGAATACAATAGCTACCACTCGCCCTCTCTCATCACATTGGAGGGCCGGTGGGATAGCCTAGTGGTTAAAGTATTAGCTCGTCACGCCGAAGACCCACGTTCGATTCCCCAAAAGAATGTGTGAAGCCCATTTCTGGTGTCCCCCGCCTTGATAATGTTGTAATATTGCTAAATACTCATTATACTAAATACATATCATTACCAAATGTTTTAGGGGGTCATGTCATGTTTATAATTAGACAGAAAGTTCATTTGCATTTTGACTTTTCGGGGGTCAAAAAACAATGTACAGGGTCATGGAAAGAGTCATCTAAAATTTGACAAGCATTTGGGGAGGGTCATTATTTCATCAAAAACATCTGCACTCCGCTCCGCGTTATAACACTTAGCCAAATCACTACACCTTCGGTGTGCTCATTTTTGTCTTTCCCGTTAATCTCACTGGCGTCGTCATTATATTGTTATCTGTGTACATTAATCTTATATCATTGGCTTTATCATTATATTGTTATCTTGGACACTCACCCCACCGTGTGTTGTGTAAACATATTATCCTGTATATATAGATTAACCCTACGCACTCATTCAGTATAAACCTAATGAAGGAGCAAGAAGTAGCTTTCCGAAATGTCGTGATAAAGAATATAAGAAGTCGTTATCCATAAAAAGTGTCATGTTGTCAAATATCTCTCGCATAAAATCATATATCACACAAACTGCTCAAGTAGTACGACGTGAGATACTGTGTCTACAAAGGACATGGGCCCCCTCACCCTGCGGCATATTCTGCCTTACTCTGTCTTGAGTTCATGGTCAAGTTTTCTATACTTCATGTGACATAGTTAGTTAGCTTAAGGAAGCATAGCATAGTTTGAAAAGAAATTATTGAGAATGAGAACATCGTAAATTATAGATCTATTAAGTTATAGACCAAGAGATTAATTGTTTGTTGTTGTTGTTGTTGTTGTTGTTGTTGTTGTTGTTGTTGTTTGTGCGTTTTTATCACTAATTTCCTTGGGAACAGATAGGACATGTTATTTTAATAGTATATTACATTATGATGGTCAGTATGAGTATATGAAGTTTATCTCAAAAGATAAGTTTGTCCAACACTGCTTACCAAAAAGAACAAAACAGCAAACTGTTCAATATTTTGTCACACCTCTTCTTATCCGAATATATGCTTCTATGCGGCGAAGCATTCTGCCTTTCAAGAACGTTAGAAAATATCTCACCACCTCTGCTTTAATATCACATATATTTATGAGATTTTTTATTGATATGAATGTCCATCATGGCTCCGCAAATATGTTTCAATTGGGTTCAGGTCCGGACTGTAGCTGGGCCATTCCAGGAGTGTACCATATTGCTCGTTCAACCATTCCTAAGAATGCTTCGCTCTATGTTTTGGATCATTGCCTTGCTGGGGTACCCAACCGTTTCCATACTTGTGCTATTAGAAGGAGATATGCCCGTAGAATACCAGTGTACACTTCACTAGTAATGTTACCTAAAAATACACATAATGGTGTGGCACCCAACACACACCCCACGCAACACATCAAATGTAGGATTTTACTTTGGACGCTGGAGAATTGGTTTCTTGTACTCCTGGTTCACATTTCTTATGCAGTTTGGATATAGCCACACTAAAGTTTAATCTCAGAATATAACATTGTCCCAAGTGAATTATCTGAGCTCAAAATACCAGTTCAAACGTCGTTCTTGCTGTCCTGGTTTTAGGAGTTGTGATAGATCTATAGAATTCCTCGTGAATTCTGCCAATCCATTGCATGCAATTGCGTTCTTATGGTAACATGAACTGTTTGTATCAACCATTGTATGCCTAATATTTTCTATGCTCATGCCTCTGTTGTTAGACACCAAATACTAATGAGTCGCCTGTTGTCACCAACAATCAATGTCTTTGCCCCACCTGCTCCACTCTCAATATTTTGCAAAGCATGGTACACTGTTGATAGTCAAACATGAATAAAATAAAATAATTATATCCCTCGAAGTGAACACAAGTCAAGGTGAACACAGTTCAAGAACAGACTATTATCCTCGAGCTCCATCCTTAATGCCCTTAATCCACTAGAATTTCAGTATTGAGCTGGATGAAAACACCCCGAAGTAGCGATGCTGTGGAACACTGGAACTCAGTTGACATCCCAGTAGTCTAGATCTTTGAACACTATTCATGCACTTACAGACACAGCTTGTTATTACATTATTCATAACATAGGTGCTGACTGACTGGTTGACAGACACGGCTGACAGCACGGAGAAGCAAACATTATGTTACTAAATAAATCATAGTTGAGGAAATAGAGAGAGAGTAGTCGACACAAGTAAACCTGGGTTCTGCTATCACTATGACTACGGTAGACACAAGTCTGCAACTGTTACTATTACTTCATCCAGATAACGGTAGACATGACTGTTCACTTGTCACTATGACTACATCTAGATGATGGTAACGTGACACAACTGTACAATTGTCACTATTACTTCATCCAGATAACGGTAGACACGGGTGTTCACCTGTCACTATGACTACATCTAGATGACGGTAGACACAACTGTACAATTGTCACTATTACTGCATCTAAATCACTGTAGACACCAGTGTTCGCCTGTCACTATGACTACATCTAGATGACGGTAGACACAACTGTACAATTGTCACTATTACTGCATCTAAATCACTGTAGACACCAGTGTTCGCCTGTCACTATGACTACATCTAAATGACGGTAGACACAACTGTACAATTGTCACTATTACTTCATCCAGATAATGATCGACACGAGTGTTCACCTGTCACTATGACTACATCTAAATGACGGTAGACACAACTGCACAATTGTCACTATTACTTAATCCAGATAATGATAGACACGAGTGTTCACCTGGTTTCACTTAAATCAGTAGATATCTTCCGTGATCAGGATGTAGTCATAGTGACAGCTGAACCCACGTACTTTCCGTTAGATGTAGCAAGTCAGTGTGAAACACGCGTTTACACTTATGTACCTCACTGTAGCGAATGTGACAGTTTAACACGCTTCTTCCGTTACCTGACTGTGTTCGCTGTCAAACTGCCCACATCGACCATACCAGTACAAGCGAGGCTAATTAAGCATTTATGCTGAAACCATGTGCCTGACTTGTTATGGCACATAATACGTCACATGTTATTCATATATGTATATTCCCGAGCAGTTATGTAATATTTACACTGGGTCTCTCAAAGTCATATCAATATTCGTTGTTTTCACCAGATCGGTAACGCCCTACGTTACTTTACGCTTTCCTCCTACATTAGGCGGACACGCCATGATATGAAATGCTGCAAAAATATATAAACTCACTTACTCTAACCATATCTAAATTACTTCGAATGTCAATGTCGATGTACATAAGATGACCGCACACATAACACATACAATCTCAACAGGGACAGTAATTCTGTATCGGGTACATACCGACTGGTCCTAGTGTGGCAGCGAGGAGACAGAGGCAGTACACACACGTCAGCTCCATCCCACCTAGTGGGCACACATACGGCCGTTGTGTCAACACGGGCACACCAAACATGCCCCAGTGACAGTTACAGAGATGAGTTAAGAGGCGTACGCCCACAGGGTCCAGCCCCCTGTACGGATTTACATATTGAGGAAGAAGTGAAACGAATTGCCTCTTTCCGTATGTGCGACTGCATATATATGATAAGTGAGTTTATTTTCCGGTTTAAGTTCTTCAACGTCAGGCATACTCTCATTAATACAGTGAACTCATCAATTTAATTAATAAAAATGGACTATTTTTTTACCCAATATCAACGACAGTAGCTTGGCTATAATATATTTATCAACAAACCCAACAAGCTGAGATCATGGACATAACCAAACAATGCGGGACACTCACGTCCAGAAACGAGTGTAACCACACGAGCGATGACATTTCTCTCACCATCACATAATATTGCTGAGTGCGGCGTTAGGCAACAAACAAACAATCAAACACATATGAAAGGTCCAGTGAAGATAATCATTCAGTCTGTATGCATATGACAATTCAGTATCTGAGAATGAAATGTCATGCTATAAATGAACAATACACATAGTGCTCACCTACTTCTCGTAAAATTCTCACTTGCAACTTGGAACATTGCGGCTTCATTTACCAGGCTAATAATACACAGCACAGATTTGTTCTTTGTGATGTTTGTTTGTTTGTTGTTTTAACGTCGCAGTCAGCAATATATTCCAGCTTTTTGACGGCGGTCATGAGCATCGACGCAACTGGAATACAATGACATGCATCAATCTAGTCAGCGAGCATGAACACCCGATCCCGTTCGTCGCCTCTTACGACAAGCATCGTCGCCTTTTACGGCAGGAATGGGTTACTGAAGACCTATTCTACCCCAGATCTTCACAGGTTTACCGCATATTGGTTAAGTAAAAAATATACCGTCCATTAACATTTTAAATGATTATTTTAATATTTACTACAAATATTAATGCAGTTTTGCCTGTACTTCTTAGCGACGGTCAGGTGGTATAGTAACCTTCATATATGAAGACGATTGGTGTAGGGTATCCGTTATAATACATTACAAAGTTAAAATATAATCGGAGTAGGTCTACAAGTAGGTAGTAACACAGTATAGGCGATAGGAACTCTTATGTAGAAACACGACCATCTTCTCTCAAAAGACCGATATCTCATTTTCTTCCAAGGGTACACAGTGAACCCTCTAATCATGATCAGATGCCCCATTACATAATATAAACAAGTATACGACGTGTATAAACAAATGGAAAGATGTGAGAGCACTGAAAGACAATATGCTTGTAAGTGTTGATTATCTGCATAACATATTGGTTGTACCATCGATACTGATTTACCCTATACTGCCGCTGACCATTTGCTAACCTTCTATGTATGACAAATGATTGTCTTCAAATCAAGTAACGAGTGGCAGCTTACAATTTAATCAAAAGTGACGTCCTAACTTTCGGATAAAATAACAAATCAATGTCGCCTGAACATATGTACACTGGTAACATAATTTTCCCTGTTAATAAGAAAATTGGTTGCGCTGAAGTGTGCATAAATATCGATACATCTCTTGTAGAAAGAACGAGGTTTGTATGTTAAAACAGAGAAAATGTATAAATGTAAATCATAATTCTGGCTTGTACTTTGGTGGACCTATTCCCATAGCTGGGCATCTGACGACGACGTTTATGGATGTGGTGTATGGGGAAAACTGTCTTCGGTAAACATGAAAATGGTAACGCATTATTAAATTATAGCGTCCTCAATACATTTTATATCCTATGGGTATAACAGATGGGCTGACAATCGGCACAGCAACCGACACTTATAGTCGTGTCTGCTTCCGCAATCTGGCTCTAGAATTTATAAACCATCTCATGGGGTCGATTATGTAGTTGCTGTCGTCTGCTGCTCGGAAATCACCGTGACGTCATTGGGAAACACACATTACTCACTTCTCTGTCACAGGTACGATAAGTATCTTAAATTAGCCTTGTGTACGATGTGGGACAAGTTTAAGATAGTTTCGAAAAAGTCGTATACCTAGGAAATAAACTTACTGTATTTGAACATAAGATTAATATCAGACCAAATTGATTGTCTCTAAATTTCATTTGAAACCGAACTGGTAGCGTTGACTTTAATCTAATTTTCAAACACAGTACGTTCATCTCCATTCTACCATGAACGAGTTAGGATCGAACTCCTTCTTTCCGCGGAAGACGACGTAATCCTGCTTGGCGTGAGAGGCCAATTGAACTCGTCTTTAAAAAAAGGTTGAAGGTGTCTTTCGTTGTGTTTTTACAATAATATTCGTCAAAATAAAACAAACAACTATCTGTTCCATTATACATGTTTTTACGTAGTAAATAAGCAACAGCTTTGTTATATAAACCTTCCAAACACGACAGAAATGAGCTTAATGTTTGGTGTGTGGTAGTACTGTACCCCCTGCCCACACTACATGAAAAGGCCTTACCTGCTTATTTTCTGGGAAGAAGTTGTTGACAGTTACGCAACAATTTGATTTTTCTTTTACATTTTGTGCAAGATTGAAATTAGAAGAACTGAACCCTGCAGAATCGAAGAATAGTATTTTTGTCTGATCGGCCGGAGAGTCGGTGTTGTAACTCATCAAGGACTGTTGATTTTTATTACCAGGGAATTTGATGATTGATTCCACGTGCCTCTTCCCCGGCGTGCGACATAAGACTGAAAGTGGTGGCCCTGACTCAATGATGTGTGTAAATGCGACTAACTTGGGATTCCCTGGCAATTGTTTTCACCATCTGGGACAGAGGATTGAGGCCAAGCGGTTTTGAAGTGTACCAACATGGATCACGAGCAGTGACAGTTTTGTGGGTAACTAGTAGAAAGCGGGATTCCGGTTGTTCAGTATTGACATGCACTCTTTGAACGATACAACGGGGCCCGAGGGAGTATGAGTGGCCTAAATTCGGGTTTTCGCCTGACCCTTATATTATCTCTGGATTCCGAATGAGTCATTGTGATACACTCTATCCTAACATCGTCTGATTCCACGACAAATGGTTTGAATATATCTGCGACCATAAGATTATGCATTGTTTTTTTTCAATCCAAATTGATTGTCCAATCAAATTTCAGTATTTCACGTAGTCATGGTAGAATTAAAATTGTTGCGAGGTGTTTTTCAGATATGAATAATTCTTCAAAACTTTGTACAAACAGTCCATTAACATCTCGAAATTGTGAAGACATAAATATATACCTGAAATTTTCAGAGTAAATCCAGATAAACAAATGTTTATTAATCTCATGAGTACTTTCAATAGTTTAGTCTTAGAAATGTGATCAAAATACATGTATGTCTGATTCTCCTTTACATTGGAATACGTTTGATATCATTTTTTCGCGTGATATTAATAATTCTCATGTGTAACAATAAATATTCATGAATTAATAAATATGTTTGTGTACTATTGGACCAAACAATACAGTGATCCATAAATATCAGTGAACCATAAATATCAGTGATCCATAAATATCAGTGATCCATATATATATATTATGTTACAGGAAACAAGTATAATCAGTGATTAAGTCTAATGACTGAAAATTTCAGTGATTATGTCTAATAACTGATTCACTCGGTGGTTATGTCTAATTACTGAAATCTTCAGTAATTAGACATAATCACTGAAATGAACCAAGGGATTTTATACTTGTTTACTGAAAGCATATCCCTGCCTTGTTTTTATAATGTGTGCTAGTTTTGAAATTAGATTAGCTATCAAAGTAAATACAACCTCTTGTAACCAGATACCTTACACAAAAATCACAGAAATAAGCTTAAACAGTTCAATCTTTTATTTCATAAAATGGTATGACGTGAATGGTATGACATGAATGGTATGACAAATAGCAGTCAGATGGACACTCAGGAATGTTTGTTTGCACATGAAAGACTTGAATGACATCTAGAATTACATTGCATCTTGGCCTTAAAACATTTGCAGCGATTTGTCTGACACCGTTTAGTTCCAACACAATTACACCGGTGTACCTTACAAAGCCTTGACCACCACAGACTGAGTCAAGTTGAACCGCTTGACGCAAAGAGAGTGTTCGATCGGTATTAGGACAGGATTATGAAGCCTTCTCACAAGTTATTATAAAAAGGCAGGGATATGCTTTCAGTAAACAAGTTTATGTATAAAATCCCTTGGTTCATTTCAGTGATTATGTCTAATTACTGAAGATTTCAGTAATTAGACATAACCACCGAGTGAATCAGTTATTAGACATAATCACTGAAATTTCCAGTTATTAGACTTAATCACTGATTATACTTGTTTCCTGTAACATATATATATATATATATATATATATATATATATATATATATATATATATATATCGGCCTGTGTCCTCTTTCAATGAAGAAACAAGCTCTATCTCTGATATCTTTAATCTTAGCTTTGGTCGTTTCGAAAAGCAAGACCCCAGCGGCTTTGCTTAATACATCATGCCCGTGTCTCAAATACCATGGGTTACAGCTTACACTATCACCGGTCCGCGAGTCGCCTGCAAATCGCTCGAATATGATGACATTTGGCTCTGCATTTAACCTCATATCTACGCAGATGGATCCAGGTTATTGTCGCCTGTTCAGATGCGGGTGATGTATATGGAGAAGGGGAACTGTAACAGTGGTGAACTGACAACATACAATTCGCTGAGAACGCGGAAGTGTCAGCTTCCTCTGCTTTGGTAGAACGCGGACGTTCAACAGACCAGGAACAAGTGCCACAGTGAGAAAGTCTGTGGGCTCGCAGCGATCGATCGATCGAGCTACGACTGTGGTGACGGTAAGATGTCGCAACTATTGCACTTATACAGTGAGTTGTATTCATGTGTGTGAGGCTGCTTTTACTACTCCGGAATACTGCCGCCGTTTTAGAAATTTGATAACTTAATAACCTGACAATATGCGTCAGTCTAACATGGATACCTCATTCAGACACGGTGTACTGACTCCGAGTCTACTAGTCTTTGTTTTATCCCCTAAATGCAGAGTCGAAAATTAGCCTTCTTAAGCTCCGCGAGAGCCTGCATTAACAATTATCGTGTTTTCATATGTTTTTAGATATAAGTTCCCATACCATTTACCTTTACCACGGAGATAGACGATGGCATGTGCACTTTAGACAACAAATCCCATGTAATGACTGCATTTCCTACACGTATACTTGAATCGTTGAATATATCCTCAGCCATGCAATGTGATCCTATGGCTGTAACTGGATCACTCATCTCATTGAAAGGCTGTGACTAATTACTAATAACGTTATCTGGTTGTCCAGATCGCCGACGATCAGAGTGAGTGAGTGAGGTTTTACGCCGCGTTTAGTAATATTCAAACAATATCACGACAGGGGACACCACAAATGGGCTTCACACATTGTACCCATGTCGGGAATCGAACCCGGGTCTTTGGCGTGACAAGTGAACGCTTTAACAACTAGGCTACCCGACCGCCCGCCGACGATCAGAGAAAAATCCAGTTTGCTCAAATGACTTTGGCTACACAATAATCACCCTGCCAGATAAAATCATAACTTGCATTAATAATTATCGTGTTGCATATGTTTATATATATAGATCTTAGCCATACCATTTACCTTTACCAGGGAGACTACATAAGACCCCCGTGCCTTTATGTGCAATAAATGGAAATGAATCAATGAATGAAAACGGTCAAAAGTTATTATCCGGAAACCAGCTTGGTTAAGAAAAGCTGGTGTTTGAGGCAGGGATAGATGTGTTCGTTTGTCCTGTTTTTTTTCCTTTAACTCCCTCCCAGGTAAGCGGTATTTTGAATGTGTACTCAGATGGAACTCAAAATGCATATAAAATGAATTTACCTTTCAATAATTCACGATAAGGAACATTGAGAAAACTGTCCAAATTCTGTAAAATCATCATGTCATTGTTTAAACCTACCAAGTAACCTTACCTCTTTTTGAATTGCACATATATTGCTACCCTAGTGCATCTGTATAACCATGCATGTATGCTTGGCAAATATGTTTTTGTATCTATTCGATATTAATATGTATTATGTTGTTGAAATAATTCTGTACCTCTGATGCCGCTGATAACGGCCTGAGATCAGTTCAGTTCAGGAAAGCACAAGGACGATAACAAGCTTAAGGAGCAGTACAGCTACGAGTTCGGAGCAAGCATCGATTACTGTTGAGTCCTCTATTAGAATAAGATACGCTTCTTTATGTTTTGTTTTTTAACACACCAGGTTATTGTTTTCTTGGATTAGAAAACAATATCTGATTGATTCATATGAATGAACGACGACCTACCCTTTTCACCAAATGACGTCTGGAAAAGACTATTGTGAGTGGTGACATTTTGCAGCCGCTCTATCTAATACTAGAAAGGTCTCAATCCTGGTTTGAATTATTATCTGGCCTCCGCGGTCTAGTGGTAGAGCATCCGTCCGGAGAGCGGCTCGACCCCCGGACGCGTCATACCAAAAGACGTTAAAAGATGGTACTTGTAACACTGTCTGAGGGTCGGCATTAATGGGAGAAAGACAAAGACTTGTCGGCTCGGAGTCAGTATATTGTGTCTGAGGGGGGTATCCATGTTAAACTGCTGCATGGTATCTCAGTGACCTAGCATTATTAATCGGCATCAGTCCGGACAATTTCAAGCAGCCCTTTATAAGTGCAATAATCATGGACGCGACGTTAAACCCAATTTCACCTCACCTCAAAATACAATGCATCACTGTAACGGTCAGGAAGGGGCCGTGTATTATCAGCCATTCCAGGTTGGCCGATCCAAGCAAACGTTCGTCCTCATTATGGCCAAGATTATGTCTTTTGTCAGATCGGCGAATAACTATGGCCCGCGTCTCATTTCAGACTTTTGGTAATTAACCTGATATGCCATGATCAACGAGGGTTGATTGATGAGTTCTTAGTCTCACATACAAGGAATTGCGTTATGGTGAAATCTTTTGTAGTGGAAATTACATGATTGCATACAGGAAAATACACACAAAGTGATCCATTTGAGAACATTGTTCCACGGTGCTTGGCAGATCAGTAAGATAAGCAGAGGTCTGTGACCTTCGGAAAGTCCCGTTAGTCGTTTTATAAAAGCGGCGGTAAGCCCAACTCACACACTCGTATACTCATCCGTCCACTGTAGCGACGTTGTAACTCATGCTTGTCTTCAGAGGCGACTACCGGGATCGTGTGGTCAGGCTCGCTGACTTGGTTGATTCATATCATTAAATCCTAATTGCTTAGATCAATGGTCATGATGTCAATCACTGCATTGTCTGGCCCAGACTCGATTATTTACGGACCGCCGTCATATACCTGGAATATTGCTGAGTGCGGCGCTAAGCAACAACAAACATGCACCATTGCAAAGTCATAAATGCTGTTAACATTATCTTTTTGGGCCGGTGTATTACTTATAACCCGCGAAGATCTTTTTTACAAAATCCTAAAGAGACATTTATAGGCCTTCTATGTGTGTATTTTACGTTAAACATCGATTTTTTTAATCCAGCCGTCACCGTTCCTGGTTGCATCGTCTGTATGACAACAATTCCGGACGAAAGCATCCTGTGCCCAGCTTTAAATTACTCAAGATATGGCCAGGCAATATCACCCGGAAAACGGAATTTCTCGAAAGAACGGGATCAAGAAAAGCGACATCTTCCCGAGGCAAGGGAGTTAACTGACTGTAAAAGTTCATGTAGTCAGTTTAGTCCTTTGCTTCGGGAAGATAGACTAGCGGGTTTTTTTCTGTACTTTAAATTTTAATATTTTATTTTATTTATATTATTACGTAGATTTTCCCCAGTCTCCTAACATCATTTCTTGTTGACAAGCCGCTGTCGACATTGGCACAGTGACCGAACTGGAATTTTTTACTTGCTTAACAGATTAATCAAAGAATGAATGTCACAAATCTTAGGTATGATTGTCAAACTGTCGAACAAGTGCACTTCTAGCTCATACACAATTTTGATTTTGTTTAGAATTTACTTCTGAAATTGTGGAGATTGAAGGATGCCGAGCCAGCCTGACATCAGTCCAACAGGGCGCGTGCGACCCGGGAAGGCGTCCGTGGCTGGATCAGGGGCCATCCTCCTCATCATCTACTGCGTCGGCCTCGGCTACGATACGTGGATGGTTGCATATGAGAAAAAGCGCTACGTACGTGGACATGTCATAGCTAAAGCGGGAATATTCAGTGCATGTGGTTATGACTTTAATCTTCAGGTAAGAACGTACTCGTTGTGTTGATCTTGGGCTCAGTTATTGTTCATCATTGTTGTATCTATTATCTAGTAGCATCTCGTCACATGAGTGAGTGAGTTGGGTTTGACGTCGCTTTTGACAGTATTCCAGTTATATTGCGGCGTGTCAGCTTAATGTGGGAGGAAGGCCCAAATTGATGCAGGTCGTACGCGCTTACCACTTCGGTGAAACCCACGAGCACGGATATGATGCTGACCTAGAAACATAATCTTGGCGAACCGGGATTCGAACCCACAATCATAGGTTTCTGGCGTGTCCAAGGGACGCGACGCTGCGCCTCCTTTGATCGACCAAAGAAACAAAGAAGAAGACGACATTAACCAATCACAAGGCAGCTCTCTCAAACCTTGTGGGACTAGTTTCAAACTGGCTTTGAAAAACATTTTGCCAAAGTTCTCGATTCGAAATTTGAAACCTGAACAAAAATCAATTATGGCAGTAGGACAGTACTTTCCACGTGCTATTGAAAGTCCTTCTGTTTGAAATGTTTATCCCATTGAAGCGAGAGTAGACGATGATTTTGACGGAATCACTCCTTCATCCCGTGACTGTCGTTCGGAGTACCCCGAGGTTGCATGGTTAGAAAACACATTCGGACTCTCACTTTCCCGATCCGGTAAGCGACGTTCTGAGATGGGTCGGATAAAAGTTGTTTTGACGTGACTCGTGATGGGATGTGCTCAGATCTTTCTTTAGGGGTAGCGAGCATTAAAATTTGAATTATGATGAGATATATGTCCGTTGGTTTCTCACTCACCCACTCTTTTGATACCATGCTGAAAGTCATGGCCTTTTTGTCCGGCGTCAGTCTTGCCTTAGTGCATCTTAATCATCTTCTCCGACGAAACCACTGAACCAATGAAGCTGAAACTTCACATATTTGTGAACGGTACCAATATTTTAGTGCCTGTCAAGGACATTACACAGCTTCCTTGTTCAAAATGTATTGAAATTTGAGTTATTTGTTTTTAATAGTGAGCCTCAATGCATGTGATCCGTTTTTTGCGATATCATCAACTTTTACTTTGATTTCACCAATGTGTTTTGACCATACTTGAAGCTGAAACCTCTTATGGACATCACTCAGACATTTTCGTTACAAATGTAATGACATGTACATGCGTCGGCAGCAGTGGGGTGAAACATACAATGTTATCTTTTCAGTGATTACGTTTATCCTTGTTTTACCCCTTTTTCATATTTTCTGTTCAGATGAGCACTCAGCAATATTCAGCTATTTGACTGTTTTATGTAAATAACCAAGTTTGGACCTGACTGTTCAGTGTTTGATATCATGCGTGACCATCGATCTACCCAATTGGGATACAATGACATGTATCAACCATGCTAGCGAGCCTGGCCACCCGATATCGTAAGTCGCATCTCACAACATGCTGGTGTTGCTGAAGGGAGTTTTGCACTTTGACCAATGGCAAGCTCATAAATACGCTGAAAATGTACTTTCTCTCACTGTAACCATCATACCCTAGGTACCCTCTGGAACAATGAAGCTGTAGCTTCACAAACGTATTCGCACCAATGAGACAACCGGGTTATATTTTTAGGTTTGTCAGTATCATACCGTGCTCGATGGTTTCACCAAAATGGTAAGCGTCTGATACCTGCATCACATCTTTAACGGCCTGCCTGGCAGAAACGTCAGCTGGGCGTGGAGTTGGGTGTCTAATGCTAAACTTATATTGAAACCTTTCAGTTTTAATCTGAAAATATTTGATATTGAAGCTAGCTGTCGATGCTCTGCATTACTATAATGTCGTCGTTGGCATCTCATACTAATGAATAAAAGCGACAGAACCCTTTCCAAATTCAATAGAAACCTCTGCTAAAAGCAGGGTCGATTGTACGATTCCGACTGTATCATGAGCATGTATATGTTTATGAATCACAATCAAATTTTGATGATACCAGGTGTTCGCGAAAAGGTGAGCAGAAATTCCAATTCATATCCATAAAGAAACAGAACTGCACAGTTGGTGCCCATTGGGGTGCCTACCTCTTACCTAAATTATTTACCCCCAAATTTTACATAGATGTTATCAATGAGGAAGTCCAGCATTTCACATAGTTTTCTCAGTAAACTTCAGTTGGTATTTGCTTTCAATTTTGGCAATTGTAACAGAAGCTAGTTGGACCAAGGAACGAAGTTGCAGGCTTTGAAGGTTCCATATGCATTTACAGCACTTCTTAAATCTATGTTTCAGGTAGACCATGAGGCAAGCCCTAACGATTGTTTCAGTTTGCTCCATGCCGGTGTGCCAGGTAAATTTCCGCATGCATGCTGACAATGGCACATTACATTCCCAAACGGAATATGCAAACATGTTAATTATTGCATGCAATTGCTAGGTTTGCATTTTTATACGGGTAGGCATGCATCTCGCACATGATACCGCAAATGTCATGAAAACTTATATGACTTTTATATTTTTTTATGAAGGAGACTAAAATCCACGCAAGTGCGGCATAGTCTTGTGACAAGGTATTGAAATATTCTGTATTCCATACATGGGGATCTATCTGACTCTCTAAATGTTTGTCCTTTACAGGGTGGGTGCGTGCAGTGCAGTTCTTTGCCATCTTGTGTCTGACTCTGCTGTGTTTTGCATCAATCATGTGGGGTTGCATTATCTTCCTAGGGAAGCTGGGCGAAATGAGATATATGGGACCGTTCCTTGTTTTGTGGACCACTACAGGTAAACCCCCTTCCTTCCACATGGATATTATCCCACGTTTTTAGCGTGAAGATCATGCGCAGCTTCAGGCCGATTGACAATATCGGGATCTTAAATCAAGACATTCAAACAAAATGTTCATATGAACGTAACGGTTTAGTCTAGATCAAACCAGCAAGTAATGATTGACGTCATTAATAATATTTAGCATTACACTAACTACAATGTCTTGATTGTAGATGGAGAGCACCAAAAGGAGCTTTTCCTCCCTTTTTATCGTACATGTTCTACATGTACATCAAGCAATCTGTTAAATTATGTAAGTTTCACTTCCGTCGCTAAGGCGTGCCAGAATTCTTTCATTGTTGGTTCGAACCCCCAGTTTAAAAAGTGATAAATGTCCAATACACTTCGTGCTGTCGTCCTACATCACGCTGACATCCCTTAATATGCCTGAAACACTGTTCAATGCGGCGTTAAATCCGACTCTCTCACCCATTATTTTTCTTCCAGGTCTTCTGTCGATAATCCATCCGATAATCTTCGCTTACAACATGCGCCCTGGTGATCTGGTGATGGAAGATCAGGGCCATAAACTGCAGTATCGGTTCACCTTCTTCTGGGGGGCCTTCTATCTGCACTGTGTGGCAGCTGCTTTCATCAACCTTATGACTCTAATGGCACTGTGCTGCCTGTGTCTAATAAAATACTTGTAGAACGATGACGCGGTGCTCTCTTCAAGAGAAGTTGTAAAATATCAACATCCGTTCCTCAGGATCATGACTCTTTATTTTCCAGTGTTGCATTTATACGTCTCGCTGCTTGGGGAGAAGTGAGTTATCCCCCAAGCGAGTTTCCTATGATTATGTGTTTCCCAGTGTGTTCTATATATTTGGCACCCTCCTAGAGTAGAGGTAAGTTACCCCTAAAGTGCGTTCCTCAACCTCATGACTGTATTTTCCAGGGCTGCCTTTATACGGGTCACCCTGATTGAGGAGAGGTCGTACATTACCCCCAAACTGAATCCTTCAACCTCATGATTCTGACGTCCCAGTGGAGTATCTATCTGGGGCAACCTGCCAAGGTCGAGGCCGACGTTAACCCAACGTATGATTTGTTCAGATTTGTTCTTTGTAACCGGTTAAGTGAACAAAATTTACCGTTCATTAACACTATGCATGATAATATTAATGTTTACTGCAAAAATGAAAGCAGTTTTGCCTGTACTCCTTAGCGAGGGTCAGGTGGTATAGTAACCCTTCATACGTAAGGAACCGCCTCCGTGGTCTAGAGGTAGAGCGTCCGCCCGGAGAGTGGAAGGTCCGGGGTTCAATCCCCGGCCGCGCCATACCAAAAGACGTTAAAAGAAGGTACTTGTTGTTACCCTGTCTGGCGCTCGGCATTAAGGGGCTAAATCAAGGACTGGTCGGCTCGGAGTCAGTATACTGTGTCTGAGTGAGGTATTCATGTTAAACTGCGACATGGTATCTCAGTGTGCTAGCACTATTAATCGGCATCAGTTCGGACTAGTACAAGCAGCCACACACTCACGTGCATCCACGTCGCTATATAAGTGCAATAATCTTGGACGCGACGTTAAACCCAGTTTCACCTCACCTCACCTTCATACGTAAAGGCGATTGGTGTATGGTATCCGTTATAATACATTAATAATATATTATAATACATAGTAAGTCTACAAACAGGTAGTAACACAGTATAGGTGATAGGATTTTTAATGCAGAAATACGACAACCTGAAGTCCAAAGACCGAAAGGGTACTAAATGACCGAGCCCTATGAACATATGTACATTTGTAACATAACTCAAACAGTCATTTGTTCATGCAGGAGTGCACATAAGTATCTCCTGTAGAAAGTACCAGGTTTGTATGTCAAACAGAAAATAGATAAATCTTATTCATGATTCAGGATTGTACTTTGGTGGACCTATTCCCATAGCCGGGCACCTGGCAACGAGTGTTATTGCCTGTAACGTATATGGATGTGATGTATGGGGAAAACTGTCTTTCATGAAAAATGATATGCTGGAAACCACGTCACAGTATTTTGGTAAGACAAATCCAGGCTGTTAATACGCGTACAGTATTCCTAATGAAATAGTGAGAGATACAATTTGTGTAAATCCGTACAAAGATACTTTGATTAACAAACATTTTTGCTCCTGACGTAATGGAAAGTTTAATATGAATTTTCAAGCAAATGTTCAAACTACATCAAAATACGGTTGTGGTCACAGCTGGTGAAGGAAGCGATACCTATATGAAAAGATTTATCAGGGAGTCTATCAAGTCTTTGTATAGTCTCCCTGGAATGATACTGATAGTTCACAGCGACAATACCCTTTCCATGTTCATAAGAGATATCTGCTAACAGCGTTAATAGTGCAGAGTTAATGATGTCGCAATAATGCGCTTCTGAGCAGATTATCTCTATCTAGATATCTAACGATAAGATCTGGACGTGAACATAGGTTATGGAGACTTAGCCATAGACAGACCTGATACTTTACTACTTCAGCGAGACTTGTTCACTTTTGTGCAATGCCAGTGTTATCAAAAGAATGAATTTGTGGAACAGCTGCGAATGGTATCATAAAACATAATTTTGTGTCACATCAAAAGATTTTAGTTGGAAGAAAGCGACTGCGTAGGATTTTGTAGGTGGTGGGGTCTTCTACTGATTTGTTACCAACCTGCGCGACTTCGGGTGTATCCATGATGAGTGCAGCTTTGCCCTTGTCAGCCTCTGTGATGGTGAACGACTCGTCACGGGTGAGGTTGTGGTTTGTTCAGGCGGGTTTCTTAAATTTAGAGATGATCTGTTGTCTGAGATAATCTACGTTGCCATTCGGTGCTAGTTGTTGTCCATTTTCTATGCCAGTGATAAATTCATCTGTTTCCTCCTTAGCGTCGTCATTTATAATGTTATCGTCATCCTTGTTCATTGGCTTCGTCCTTATATTGTTATCTTTGTACATTAATCCTATGTCATTGGCTGTGTCATTATGTTGTTATTTATTAACATTCATCCCAAAATTTGTTGTGCAAACATCATGATATGTGTATGTATATGTGTACATATAGTACTCTATGCACTTCTAAGCATTCGCCTGATGAAGGAGCAAGAAGTAGCTCTGACACGTCGTACAAAGAATAAAAGAAGTTCATAAAAAGTGCCATGTAGACAAATCCCATGTAATGACTGCATTTGCCACATGTAAACTTAAATCGCTGAATGTGTCCTGAACTGTTCGATATCTTCCTATATGGCTGTAAAAATCATTTTATCATCTTATAAAAAAAGGTGCCATGACTTATTTAAAAACAACATTATCTTATTAGAGATTCTAAACAATCTCGGGGTGGGGGGTGGGGGGTGGGTCGATTATGTAGTTGCTGTCGTCTGCTGCTCGGAAATCACCGTGACGTCATAGGGAAACGCAAATTAGTCTCTTCTCTGTCACAGGTACGATAAGTATCTTAAATTAGCCTTGTGTACGAAGCGCGACAAATTTAAAATTGTTTCGAAAATGTAAACTTAAGATTGTTGCGAGATTGTTGGTGCCCAGAATGGTTTTCAGATATAAATAATTCTTCTAAACTTTGCACATACAGTCAATTTGAATCTCTACTTCAACCTTAAATATCTGTCTCTTTCAATACCTTACAGATATCATATCTCTCTTCGTCGTTCTAGATGCTCTGTGCAAAACTTAATGTTAGAAGGGATGGGAAAGTATAAACAAAAACTTACGTCTTTGTATATTTTGCAAATAAAAGAAAATATGTAAATGAAAACCACTACCTTTCAGACTGTCCAACATATGTTTTTTAAGACATAAATATATACCTGCAGTTTTTCAGAGTAAACCCAGATAAACAAATGTTTATTCATTTCATATGAGTACTTCGAATAGTTTATTCTTAGAAATATTATTTGATATTTTGCCTGATATAAATCCTTCTCATTTGTAACAATAAATGTTCATGTATTCATAAATATACTGAACCGCAAAAGAAACGTCACCCCATGTAACATTGCATGAAAAGTTGTCACTTTAATATGTGGGTAATGTTTGTCAAAGTTTCTAAAATTTAACATTACCTTGTCCGGAAAAATGAAATTTGATGATAAAAAACAAAGCAGATGACAATATAACCGATCGCCGAAACGCATCACGGCAACGGCCATGGTAAATTGAAATGCACATGCGTTCCCCCATTTCTTGCCCTATAAAAATCCACACAGATCGGATAACATTCATTCGTTATTGAATTGCTACCACATGCCAAGATTGACAAGAAATCAGCGATACCAAGCCCTTGGATTTCAAGCTGGACAAACCGCCCGGTAAGTAGCCTATGCATTTCAAGTCCACGTAAATGCCATATACAGGTTCCAGCAGCAGTACCAGACCACTAACACTACAGATGACCGACCACGTTGTGGAACAGCAAGGGTCACCACCCGACGTCAGGATCGTCAGATTGTGCGAAAGCATCTTCAAGATCGCTTTGTTACTGCTGCGGAAACTGCTCGACAGACCATGGGCACATTAGTGCGGACACCGTGCGTCGACGATTGACGAGCAGACACATCCACTGTCACAGGCCACACCGAGGACCCATTCTGGCACCACATCATCGCCGGGACCGTCTTCAGTGGGCAACACAGCACCAGCATTGGCGCCACCAGCAGTGAAGAAGAGTCCTCTCCTCAGACGAGAGCCGTTACTGTATGTCAACAGCAGATGGCAAAGAGAGGGTCTGGCAATGCCGTGGGTAACGTTATTCGGATGCTTGTGTTGTTGAGAGAGACTCGGGGGTGGTCCGAGCATCATGGTGTGGGGTGGAATTGGTCTTGCAGATAGGGTCGGCCCTGTAGTCTTCCAGAACATCGGTCCAGGGAGAGGCAATGGTGTCACAGCAGCTCGGTACATTGATCAAGTCTTGAGACCACACGCCATACCTCATTTGGCACGTCGCCGCAACCACGAGTTTCAGAATGATAACGCCCGTGTCCACACTGCGAGAGCAACGAGAGACTTCCTCCAGCAGAATGGCATCAGAACCATGCAGTGTCTTGCCCTCGGTCCGTATTTAAATCCCATTGAGCACCTGTGGGACGAGATTCAAAGACGGCTGAATAACGTCCGACCAAGATCGACAACTGCAGCTGAACTGCGTCAGGCGTTCCTCAGAGTGTGGGCTCAAGTGCCTTTGGCCTTCATCAACCGCCTCATCCATTCCATGTGTCGACGTTGCACGGCAGTCATCAATGCACATGGCAGAAACACGAGATACTGACTTGTGATGCAATTTTTTTAGAGACTAGTGTTGTGTTTCACTTTAAGAACATTTGACACTTTAATTTCAACCTTGATGATCAGTTTTGCCAAGTTTCATCTTTTTAATATGTCTCAAAGTATGTTTGCATGGTGACGGTTTTGCGGTTCAGTAGATATTTGTTTGTTTGTTTGTTGCTTAACGCCGCACACAACAATATTCCAGCTATATGGCGGCGGTCTGTAAATAATCGAGTCTGGACCAGACAATACAGTGATCTGTAGATAGGTAAGTGTATATACCTGTGGCCTCTTTTAATGAATAAACACGCTCTTTCTTTCACATCTTTAATCTTAACTATGATCGTTTCAAACATCAAGACCTCGCAGCTTTGCTTTATACGTGACGTCATGCTAGTATCTCAAATACCATGGGTTACAGTTTCCACTGTCACCGGCTCGACAGCAAATCGCTTGAAAATGTTGACAATTGGCAACTTCATAGCTACGCAGATGGGGCGAGGTTATTGTAACCTGTTCAGATGCGGGTGAAGGATTTCATGAAGGAGAACCGTAACGTTGGTGAGCTGACAACATACAGTTCGCTGAGAACGCGGAAGTGTCAGCTTTCTCTGCTTTGGTAGAACGCGGACGTTCAACAGGCAACTTGGATCAAGTGCGACGATGAGAAAGTGTGTGGGCTCGCATCGATCGACTGAGCTGCTATCGACAGTGAGACGGGGTTTAATGTTGAGGTCAAGATTATTTCACTTTTTAGCGACTTGTATGCATGTGTGTGTGTGGCTGCCTTACTAGCCTGGAAACTTGTTCACTTGATCACATGCGGCAGTTTAACACGACGTACTGACTACGAGTCTACAAGTCTTTGTTTTATCCCCTTAATGCAGAGTTGCGTACCTATAGATTCCGATGCGAGCCTTCATACGCTCCGTGAGAGCTTGCATTAACAATTAACGTGCTCTCATATGTTTATAGATCTTAGATCCCATACCATTTACCTTTACCCTGGAGACCTTACATAATACATAACGGACCCCTGGCTTTACGTGCAATAATTGTATCCGAATG